CAACGTTTGTCGAGGTGGTTTCGAGAGTTTAAATCAAATAAACATAGGCATGGCCCGATAGTTCGGCGTTCCCACTTTCGACGCCGACCAACCCTTTCGGTTGTTAAGAGAGAGTCCGCCACAGAACCACGCGGTTTTTCTTATGACAGACGGAAAAAACGTTGATTTTCGATTTTAACATCTCCAACGAAATGTCGTGTCCAACCATGCTCAAATCTAAAACATTTAGACCATCGGCTTTCGCCTATGAAAAATGCGGACTGAAAAACTGAATCAGAGTCAATCTTCGCCTCTAAAAACAAGTATGTTCGGGTACGCCCAGTATTATGACATTATCTTCAGATTTATTTGAACCAACGCGTTATGTATGAAACCAGAGACAATCGTATCTGATCTGGTCAGGAAACTTTTAACATTGCATATGTATACTTCCTCACTGGATTGATCAAACAAATAGCGATCGTTTTCCTTGTATTCAAATCCACCCGTTCAAACTTGGAGCAAAATTTCGCTGATCGTTTAAAGCAAGCACAGTGTACTTGATTCTCACCCTCATCTAAACCTTATCAAATGCACTAACAAAATCTGCAAATAAAATCAATCTATATCTGATAGAATCGATAAAACAGCACTTATGTTTGTAACCTGACCTTGGGTGGAATCCTGATTGAGAACTGAAAATGAGTTTTTTCACTATGAGCCATTTTTGTAAGTACTTGTGCATAATGGCAGCGTAAATAATTCGGCTGCAGTCGATCGAAAACGGTTATTTTCTCCTAAAAAAATTGTCTAACATTTCCTTTTCCTTTCCAGACTTGTATTAAATCTCGATGATTTACCGAGTAAAAGAAAGACAGGAAATGAAGCAAGAAATGCATTTTGAGGGATCTAAACTATTGATTATTCGCATCACCTCACCGTTTTTTAACCGCCTTCTTAGAAAATAACAATGCCTTTGTGTAAACATGTAATGTCGTGGAAAAGTTGCAATTGCGGCAACTCCAATTTTGTTCCAAACTCGATGAAGCAACGTCAATATTTATATTATTTATGGTTTTTATGTTGTTTTAGGTATATATGGTTTTTATGGCAGCGTCGCTGAAAAGTGAGAGAAGGAAGAATTTTGCTTTTTCCGATCACTACAGTAAGTTGTACTATGGTCACCTAATGGCAGCAGTCCCCTTTTGAAAGAGTTTTGATTTTTAGTTGAACTTATGAGGGAAGGCCCCCAACTGTCCAGAAGCTTTTGGCCCAAAACTTAGTGGACAATAGGTAATCGAGTGTCCTGATTCCGAATGTTACATTGGTTTGGGCCCAATTTTAGTTTAAAGACCCAGGTTTTGAAATACTGGGTTTTGGGGTCGAAAAACCATTTGCAATAAAAACTTTTTGATCCGTGAATATGAAAGTGCATATCGCGAAACCCACGTAAAACTGTTTTTCAAGGTTTTAGAGGAGGTTTTGAGCGGGTTTTGAAAGACTAAAACTTAAAACTACACCAAGGAAAACACGTTTTCGCACTTATGCGTTTTGTGCGATAAAAATACTGTTTTCTAGGTTATCGAACGTGCCAACTTCGAATATTCCATTGTTTTCAGTCCTCAGAAAAGCCAAAGATTTGGATTTGACGGAGACAATAGTTTGCCACAAAAATCTTTTACGCGAATGAAGCAGTTTTTCGACATGCCTAGATCAAAAAATGAATTAAAAGACAATTTGAATGAATTACCTTGAATGATTTTTCTAATTTCACGGTTATTTTTATAAACAAGTCGGTTGAAATATAGGGAAAGGAAAAGAAAGAGTTTACTAAGGAAATCGAGGATTAAAAGTGCTATGTTGATAAAATCTAGAGAACGAACGTGAGTAATGTACTGCTACAAGGAAGAAGAAAAGAACAATGTGTAAATGGCATTCGATCGGTTAAATTATTCAGAAGACTTTATGCGTCAGGTTGTTGATCTTGCCGATGAAACAAACAGATTTGGTAAACGTTCCCATACATGGAAAAGTATTCGCCATCGATTTAAAGCAGTTCCAGACCAGAAATATATCTCTAGATTTCGACGGTATTTGGAATACTACGGAACAAAGAGACAGAAGACATAGAACGTGGACGTGCTAGTTTACAAAAAACTAGCCACAGCATGAGAAAAAGGACTTTTGGTTCATGATTTGGACATTCAAAGATGGGCAATACAAATGGTCAAATAACTGAAAGTGGACGATTTTCATGCGTCTCATCACTGGAATGGAAATAACAAAGCTGGACATAAATTAACTTCTCGAAAAGTAACAAATTTCGTTTCGCATTATCAGGTCGAACATCGAAATGTCATTGAAAAGTCGAAACACGACTTTGTTTTGGAATATAACAAAATTTCGCCACATTTCAGTCCGTCAGAAATTTTCAATACAGATCAAACGGGTGTTGAAAAAGAGTTACACTCTTCTCGAAATATATCATTTTCCGGCGAAAAGAAAACTTTTGGTGCCATTCAATCGAAAAATGCCACCACATACTCTTACACTTTGCAACGAACTATTTCCCTAGACGGACACCTTTTGGACAAAATTTATTTGTGTTTACAAGAAACGGACGGTAAGTTATACAAGAAGTGGATTGTTCGTCGAACAATGTTTGCTCACTTTCTTTCCCCTATTTTTAGGAAAAATGGGAGAACAAGTGAAAAAGACTTTGCTTGAACCAAAAAATGTTGTCATCACTTGTTCTTCATCGGGAAAAGTAGCCACATCTCTCGTTGAGTACTGGCGAGATCATTGTTTTTTGCCACTAGTTGATGCAAAATGTTTGCTACTTTCTGATAAGTTACCCCGGTCAATGTCGTGCAGAAACGTATGAACCGAAAAACTGTGGTGGAAAGCAAGTTACCCGTCTGCAAATACCACAAAATACAACGGACCAGCTCCAATCGCTTGACTGTTATTTCAACCGGCAAGTAAAAAATTTTCTGAAAGCATGTTATAATCGGGTGGCTTTGGATGAGCTCGACATACATCTACATCAGCGAAATAACATTATTCGCTTGGTTAGTCTCCGGCATAATCAGTTGAGTGCGGACGTCTTTGTATCGGTGATCAAATATTCATGGTTTGCCAGTGGCATATTAAAAGAAGACTCATCTCCCTTTCAGAATGTCAATGAAGTTTGCTTCCCAAAATCAAGAAATCATGAAGAGTGTGAAGAGAAGGATTGTGATGAATCAGTTTTTATAAACTGTGCTCGATGTTCAAAAAAACTATGTTTTGAACACTTTTTTGTGAGTTATCATTTTCATTGCAGCGAGTTTTTTTTCGTAAATTGTTAGCCATATTTCAACCGACTTGTTTATAAAAATAACCGTGAAATTAGAAAAATCATTCAAGGTAATTCATTCAAATTGTCTTTTAATTCATTTTTTGATCTAGGCATGTCGAAAAACTGCTTCATTCGCGTAAAAGATTTTTGTGGCATCGTCGAGTTCTGCTTGGGTCCATCGAGAGTGGGGTTGGGTTCAGTTATGGGGCGAATCCATTCAGGAAATATTCGAATCCTGACCTAAGATATCCTACGTCAAGATAAGTACTACTAGAAACTGCCTTTGGCCGATATTCATACATTATCTATGTTGTGTATCATAGACTGAGCCGAGTCGGATTGGCTTTGGATAAAATAAAAAATAGTCCTTCGGATCTCATTCGGGTATGAGAGAAGTCTTTTAGGTTTAGTTGCATTTTTCCACAGAAAATTTGAACAAGCTGCGGATAGAAGCTTCAGTTTGAAAAAAAACTTTTAGAAAACATAATCAATGTTTACATAATTGTTTACTCTGTAAAATACCGCCTTGATGTCAGAAATATAAACGAAGTTGATGGTAATCGGGAATAAAGTACACTTTTTTTTTTCTTCTTTTTTTTTCTTTACCTTCTACAGTTATGAATATTTCATTTATAAATTAGATATTAGACTTTTCATATCTTTTTCATTTGGCTTACTTAGCTTTTTATCAAAATGCCTGGAAATAGGGTTTCTGGAAAACCGTGCTTTTCGCATAGCGCGCAAAAAACGTTTTCGAGAAAAATTTTCCAGAAGTTATTTAACGCAGTTCTTGACGCTGATTCCGAATACCAAATTCAAATTTTAAAAAAGTTAGATTTGGATCCTTAAAACTGAAATCCAGCTTTTATTTTCAATGTTCTGATCTAGCAATTTTCGCCAAAAAATTAAGAACGTTTCCAAGTCCTCCTGTACGAAGAACTCAACTAAATTTATTATATTATTTAACAGTATAGAAGCTTTCACCTCAGAGTGGAACAGGCATGCACGGATTTCGATTAAAGTCGAATAACCGATGTTCGATTATTTGCGATTTCGTACAATCCAAGTTCGATTATTCGATTTTTAATCGGAATCTGAGCATGCTTACTTTTCTCATGTTATACGCATTTGTATAATATTTCATAGTTTCATCATAATTTTCTTTTTAATAATAGATAACATCAATACTATCTATTACGGCTGATGCCTGACGCATATTTGATAGTACACTATTATTTAAGTATTCATCAAGTGTAGACATGTACGGATCAAAAATCAAATAATCGAACATCAATTATTCGATTTTTAATCGAAATCCGTGCATGCTTACGGCGAAAAATGCTTTTATATGTGAAAAACAAGAACTCATAACGTCAGCAATATTGTACCAAAACTTTTATTTTATATAGAATCAAGACCTTCCAACACTCAAGAATCTTCGCCTTGGTACATGTCTATAAACAAGCAGGTAGGTTGAAGTTAGAAATTCTTTTTTCACAGATCGTTGATTTTAATGGAAAGAACTCGAGCAATCGACGTTCGATTATTCGAAATCGGTGCATGCCTAGGCTAGAATCATCATCAGTCACATAACTTGATAAAAGGAATGACGTATACATATATATATATATATAACATTGCATTGGGAAGAATTACAATAGATATTTATTGCAGTGCTGCAATGTTATTTGCTTCTTCCTTTCGTACAAATATTATTCACGTTTATCAACGTTTTCTCCACAAACGATATTACTATCATCAAAACATTTCTGAAGTACGTCAATCAGTAATTATCGATCGTCACTTGAGAATAACCGTAACCTGCCATCCGAAACGCAAAAGCTAGAGTAGGGAGGTATCCCTAATCTTGAGATTTTTAAATTTTCCTGTGGAAATCATATGAAAAACATTCTTTTGTGCCAAAAAGTTTTTCAAATCATTTTCCAAACAGAAATATTGAAAATTGTAAATATTGACGAACTGTATTGCTCCTATTTCACCTAATTAAAGACTGATTCGAAATAATAAACAACGTATGTTAAACTTATTTTATTTGACTCGAGAACGATTATTCTTTGAATATATGATACATGCTAACGGTTAGACCAAGTTAGAATTTAGTGCTTCGTTTTTCCATATTTGACCAGCACCGCCAAAGTTTGATACAGTAAACAAAAAAATCAGGTACTTTTGAAAGTAGACCAAACGTTTAAACACGCAGAGCACGTTTAAAACACAAAAATCGTTCCTCTTCTACGCTACTAAAATAGAATAGATGTATATCATTCTTTCATTCTTATTATTACACCAATCTCGTTAACTTCGAGGTTAAACTGAACACTCTCCTGTCTTTTTTCATGCTGGAGGTTAAACAACGATTGTAGTGGTGTATTATGGAATAGAGAAGTGAGACGAATATTATGAATCGATTTCGTAGAATATACGAGTACGTGGCTAAACTAAATCTGTATGGTAGCGAGACAGATGATGAAGACTTGAAACGAAATCAAATAATATCTACAAAGTTCTATTTAATAATTCTACTACTTTACTCTTTACGTATCGTTACCCTATCGAACAACCATCGTTACAATTCCAACATCTACTCTAAATCAATATGAACAATTAGAATTAAAACTTTCAAGCACTCTACAATGCCCATGCAAACATATTTCCATTCGATATGAAGAATCCATCACCATTAATCCATTGTATCATCAAATGTGTTCATCGAATTTTGTTAGTGAACGATGGATTAATTATTTGTTATACGAGAATACAAGTTATTGTTTTCAGCTTGACTTTCGTCATAGTGGTTCAGCTCGATTTCAACTTCTTCATACACTATCTCAACAAGCACAACAAACAGTCAGTAATAATTTAATACAATTCTACTCAGCGGAATTTATCATTACTGAACTTGTCATTCCTAAAACATTTAATATTCAAGCTGAATCTTTTATTCAACTATTTGAACGAACAACACCACAGTCCTTTCTCAATATGCTCAAATTAATTGAACAAACAATAACACGCAATCAAATACTTTCAGGAATCGACACACTTTTTGCTCTCATGTTTTATGGTCCTTGGTGGTATGTGTATCCTTTTATGGATAATATATATTACTATGAGGCGGTGATTCAGCACAAAGCTTTCAGTTGTTATTGTGAGGGATTAATGATATGTCAGTTACCAGAAGGGATTTATGCTAATATAAATCAATATGATTATCCTGGATCTTATTACTCATATGACCCACCGATTCAAATGACCTCGATGATAGATACTACACTAATATTGCCCGGCAGGTTCGCGGGATGTCTGCCTATTGAATCACTGTTGAGATCGACAAGTGAATGTTTATTCGAAGAATCATGTTTGAATCGAATAGGCTCTTTTATTCATTATTCACCCATACCGATTAGTTCATTTACTACACTGAATGCCTCTCGATTTCCACGAGAAACGACTATTGAAACAATAACCAATGAACTATTTATTGAAGAATGTATAATCAACAAATCATTTAATCGATATTATAAAATCATAATAAAATGTGTCTTCAATGTGAGGTTGAATATTCAAAAAAAATAATCTTTTTCTGTAATCCAACTATAATAATCTTATCATAGATCAATCGGTAGCATCCGATAAACTCTATCTATGTTCACTACAACTTTCTGGCTATTGAAGTAAAAACTAGAAATTATTGTCAAAAAATAACCTATTCAGTAAAGTCAACTCTTAACCCTTTGGGGACGGGAAACGTATACATACCGCTACACGTTATCAGTGTGACATTTGTAATGTTGGGCTTTGTGTTATAGGTTGTTTTGAAGAATATCATACTCTGAAACATTTCTCAATGTTCGCGTATGATAATAAAATTTATTTCAAGGTTTCTAGAAAAAAAATGTTTTTCTCATTTTCCAGCAAGCTCCATTGCCAAAGGGTTAAAAAGTCATATTTTTGGGAAAAGAGTAGCCGAAGAACTGTTTTCTTGGTGGCTGTGGGAAACGTGTTTTAAACACGCAACCGTATAGCGATAATGCAATTGCTCTAAATATGTAAGATTCAATATAACTGGGTGTATAGAATATCAATGAGGTTTAAATATTCGATGTTTTTTACATTTTCTATTTGTATTTGATAGTACGTTGACTCGGCTATATTCATTATTTCGATATATAATCAGTTCTATTCGTGAAGTGAACATTTTCAATAGTCATTCATTAGACAAACATGTAGAAAAGAATGAATTAATTTCAACAAGAATCTAATAATTCTATTAACTATTGCTTTGGTCACTTTTGGTCTCTATAGATTAATAACACAACAAAAACAATTACTATGTATAATCCAACTTGAACTTAATTTGAACAATTAGAGAACTACAGTGTCAATAATCTTCAATGTTCGTGTTGTCGAATATCTGCTAAATACGAAATGTTTATCACTTTTTAACCTAGATATCATTAAATTTGTTCGAGCCTCTTTGCTTCATATCCGTGGTATATAAACGATTTTTGGTCACCTTATAGTGACCTTTCTGATCAGGATTTTCGACATCTGGTACCTTATTATTTTGGTCTCTTATCAACATTTTGTCAATCATCTAATGAGACAATTGTTGATAGTTTGACTCAATTCTATGCAAATGAATATATTACATCTCAAGTTGTCTTATCAAATTTATTTGTCAATCAAGCTGTTTCATTTATTGAATTATTTACAACGACAACAACACAACAATCATTCAAACAAATATTTAACTTGATTCGAGGAGTCATATTTGGCAATTAGCTGATGTCTGCAAACCGCTCAAACGTCTTTTATATAACAACGAATGTGAGTGGAATTGCTGAAGTTCATCCTTCAGTTTTATCCTAGGATAATTGTTCCTGTGGCAATGATCCTATGTGCAAAGAGCAACTTAGCTTTTACCTTGTGAACGGACAAGACGGTTTTGGTAGGAATGTACGCCGGTGGTTTTTTTCTCGATCCTCTTTTATTGCTTCTTTGAAGAAGCTTGTATAAATAAGATCAAATCCTATATGAATCCAACCATCTGGTTGAACTTATGCAAGTATTGAAGCGAGTCAATATACACCAAATACAAAATTTGAAACCATTTTCGACAATCTGTTTATTGAAGATTGGAATGACCTTTATTTCTATAGTAGATATTAAACTCAATGCCATCTTATTGTTCATATACTGTTGATGAACGACTTGATTTCATATATGTATTAACCAACTAAATTGGCTTATTTGGAGCATTCTCGATTGCCATTAAATTTTTGGTTCCGATAATTGTTAACTTAGTCAGACGAGAAAAGAGACAGCAATCCGATATTAATCTTCTTCTGCTTGTTGATAAGTAGCATGTTTAATCATGCAATATCTCTATATGAATTACTCAGACTAAAAATTCACAATACAAACATATTTTAAATAACTTCTCTATTCTATTTAACGGTAATTCCATGGCACTACTGAAGTGGTTCTTGAGTTATTTAAGTAATAGGCAATGTGTGACTGTCGTTAACCCATAGACTTCAACACCATATGCAACAAATGGAGGAGTACCTCAATGGTCTATCCATGGATCATTGCTATTCCTTCTATGGTCTCAAGTCGCCACAACATAGACCAACAGTAGATCATTTCTAAATCTACATTTAGATCACTTGTTAAAGTGTATCATGATGACGTTATTGAATGCAAGAAAGCGTCATCGGGAAATAATCGAGCAACTGTTTTGAGATTCAGAACGGTATCATCAGTGAAAACTAAGAAGTGAAAAAGCCGGTGCCAATCGTGGCACCGATAAAAGAAATTCGTTGATATCGTCAGCTCGATACGGAACACGTTGGTTAAATTAACCGCCCATGGAATTACCATTAAATAGAATAGAGTGTCCGACCTAATGCTGCAGTGGTTTCAAACCAGTCTTAGCGATAGCAGTATGATCACTCGAATGAATGGTTAAAAGACTTGTGCTCGAAAATTAAACATAGGAATGTCCAAAGGTTCAATCTTGGGATCTCTCATTTTCTTAGTTTTCACTGATGATACCGTTCTGAATCTCAAAACAGTTGCTCGATTATTTCCCGATGACGCTTTCTTGCATTCAATAACGTCATCAT